CATGCGTTTCAAATTTCAGATTAAACCAAACTCGGTGACTTTAGAAAGCTAAGACTCGGGGCTTTCCAATGATACCTAGATCATCTTCTGGGTCCTTACAGAACGACGGAAAAACAGCCCGCAAGTTCATTGTTCGGAACTGGAAACAGGATATTCCAGTCTCAGAAAACATGAATGACATGTTGACATCTAAAGAACACAGAGAACGGAGATTACATCGGCAACAGGATCGGAAACCTGTTCTAAAAACTAGACAGAGAGAGCTTTCAACAGATAGGTGGATCGTCTTATAAGTCCTTCTGGTTCAACGGGAAACCTTCCTCGAAATGAACTGATCGCAGACCCAAAACTGCAGAAACATCTTTTAGTAAAACGACGATAACCCTCGGAATACTAATCCAAATGATAAACCGATTTCGCCCAAAGCTAGATACGAGAGTGGAGAACTTACCCTAGAAGGTTCGCTCCAATCCGATCCGATCTTTCTAGCCGTTCGTCTCCCCTTCTAAAATTGGGCAGAACTATTTTTCTCTCAAGAAAGTCACTTCTCTCATAATTCTCTCTAACTTTTCTGATTTTCGGCCAAAATAGCCACAAAACGCGATCTCCACGCTTATATAATGGAACCCTAGGGTTCCCTAAACTGATAGCCAAACCGAGCGATCAAAAACCGAACCAGATGGTTCAATTTCAACTTGCGTCGATCGACGCACAACACTTCTGTCGATCGACGCAACACCCAGAACCCGACTCCTCGCGAGTCCAAACACGTGTGTCGATCGACATACACACACTGTGTCGATCAACGCACCACCAAAAATACACATTTTGGTTCACAGGTATTACAACAACTGCCATAGGAAAAAAAATTAGATCAGAAGATACAAAAAATAAATATATCATAACAGTTGAAATTTAATAACATAGTTAACTATTTTTGAAATGTTTCAGAACATAGTTAACTATCTAAAATATAGTTAACTATTTTTTGAAAATAGTTACCAATTTGGAAATATAGTTAACTATTTTCATAGCATAGGTAACTAAAGGAAAAATATTGTTGTAATAGTTAGTTATTTAAACAAGCTAGTTCAAAATATAGTTATTAACATACATAGTTGACTATTATCAAAAACATAGTCGCCTATTATAATAAAAAATAACATACATAGTAAACTATTATGAGAAACATAATTACCTTCTAAACCTAGTTAACTATGTCGATCTTCGACGATAACTCAATTTGACCAGGAGATGAATGACGGTGGAAAAATTAATGGAGGAGAAGAAAAACACCATCTTAATCCAATATAAAAGATTTTGATCCATGACAACGAGTTAACACAAAGTAATTAAGAAAGAAGAAGAAGAACCAAATTGTGAATTTGAATATTAAGAAGACGGAGGAGGAGGAGGATAGAAGGAGGCGTAGGGAGGAGGAGGAGGAGAATAGAAGGAGGCGTACGGAGAGAAGAAGAGTTGAAGAAGATATAAGGAGGCGTAGGGAGAGGAAAAAAGAAGAGTACGGTGGGGATTCGTGAAGTTGGCGAGACTAGGGTAATTTCCTTTGTTTTATCTTTTTTTTTCTTAAAGTAAAACATGGTAAAATAAAAATAGGGTGATTCTGGAATTTCATGTACACAAATTGTTAAACACCTAATTATAGTTTTAGGTCATGTTAAATGATGAGAACATCCAAACCATACCAAATTGGAAGCAAACAAAACCAACTGGTTTGAGCATTAAACCAACCGTACTGGACCAGATTGCAAGTTTTGGAGAGTTTCAGCTTATCAGCATGTGGTCCAGCCCAATATGGAGTTCACATAGTCATTTGATCAATCAAGAAGTCTGAGCTCATGGAGAAACACCTAGGAGAAGACCCGGATCGAAACTGCCTTTTAAATCCATATGTGGATCTATTTGGAGGTAAATAAGGAAAGCCTCTATTTCCCTTATCAAGATACATTTCCATACTTCTTATGGGAATCAGGAGACACTCTAGATCAGATAGAATCTTTACCACACGAGCCTTGGTACATCTTACCACACAAGAACCTGCTTAATCATTACTTGCCATTTTTGGAACCAAATGAGATCAATCTGCAACGACTCTTTCTTGGACATTGCTGCTGCGTTTTAAAGTCATATTCAGTGCATCTAGACGTCCCAAGATCACATCACTTTCAGCCCAAGCTTTCGAGACTCAAGCATCAACAACTTGCCTTATATGGACCGATTTTCTCTTTAATATTCCAACGGTTCTCTTATTTATTTTCGTGCGATTTGTTTCTGTTTTTGTAGCCACTAGAACATTGTAACTGAGCCTATAAAAGCTTGGCTCTTGATTCATTCTAAATTACCCTTGATCATAGATTAATACAAAGTTTATAGTTTTTCTTTCAAAGTAGTGTCTTTGAAGATTGTTCTTGTTGTTTTGAATAAAAGTGTGTGATTCACTTCTATTCTTTAGAAGCCACGAATTAAGTGTGTTTGTGAGATTCAAACATCTTTGTTCGTCCATTTGATTGAGCGAGTCAATCACTTTCCTTCCATCTCTACCATCGTTTCCACATTTCGCAAGTTTATGCTTGGAATCTCTCGATCATCGAGTGGTCTTAGAATTGGAGTGATTCTGATCCTATATCATTTGGTATCAGAGCTTAAAAGCTCCTATCCAAGGTTGTACCAATCCAACCTATCTC